CGAAGCTTCGAACGATAAACAATGAACGCATGCACTCGTTTAAAAACATCGTTCGGCACCCCGCGACGGAGGACAAGCTCGTCCACACAGTCACCCCCTAAATGTAAAGTCAATCAGGTACGAATGACACCAGCCGCTTACGGTCGACCGAAGAAGACGGCTTGCTACCTGAGACGGAGCGCGCCGCTGTTTATTCCTGAAATATTGAATATGGACTTACTGTATGTTTTATGTGCATTGCACATTTTATTACCACTTCGATCTTACTCCAAGTGTTTGAGGTTCTTGTTTCCTAATAATAATCATTAATTATTGTAAGTTTTATTAATTATTGTAGGTTTTATTAAGTATTGTAGATTTTATTATTTATTTAATTATTATACATACATGCGCCATCCCATACACCGTTCACCCGCGCGTACATACTAATCCAATCAATCGACATCGTCGGCACCACTCTTACCGACTCGCGCCAAACCACACCACACATTTCAATAACGGTTTACATCAGTCTGTGTGTACAGATCACTTAAGCCTTACGCACTTGACAGAATTATATTATACAATATTCTGAATCTTTAGAGCAATGACAACTATATACTTCATCTGTTAGATATAACATTAAGATCTTTCAATATATTTGTTACAGATTTACCATAGTTTATTCTAAATTATTAGAGTAATGGTTGCAATAACTTTGAAATATCTATTTAATAATCAATAGAAACTTTAAAATTTTTTATATATCATCTTTTGGTAGAAGGAGAAAATGAGATATTTGTAACTCTTCATATTTATCAACATATTCTGGTTAATAGTAGTAATGCGTTAAAATCGTCGGATAACAAAAATGCCGATATGTATCGTCGATGAAAGTATACATACTTCACAGTTAATGAATACTATAAGACAAGACAATCAGTCACGTGATTAAATCTATAAGATGTATGCACTATGATTGACTTATTTTGATGTGCACATGTTGTACAAAAATAACTGTTATCTATTAGATAATTAGCTTCTCTACGATTTTACCCCATTTATGGAAAAACGGCCCATAAACCAATTTTTTAAAACTTGAGTGACTTTTTGTAGCTAGTCACGTAGGGGACATATAAGGGTAAAATTTTGTTCCTTTATAAAAAAAGACTATAAAGCTGTTTAATGCCGAAATAACCATTAATTCAAGAAATATTTTAATTTCAAAATTGCTTGCGATACTATGCGCAACATCTAACATTTTATTTTGAATAACGACTTTTAGAAGGTAAACATCGTACATAGTAGCATTACCACTTTACAGACTTTTTAAAATGCACAACCAGTGTAGTAAAAAGGTTAATAAAGCGTAATTAGGTTTTTTTATTAGTTGGAACCTGATACAGCTCTTATGAGACTCGGTTGAAGTAGAAAATACTAAGTGTTGTTTTCAGATAATGAATCATTCAAGTCATTTTAAAAAAAAACGGACCTTGACTTCGCATCATACTTAAATGAATCGTTACCAAATGATATTTTAATTAATTTCATAGCAACTGATAGAGAATTATAAGCTTCCGACACATTTGAATGCAATGTGAATACATTATCTTAATAAGAATCATCATTATTCAGCAATATTGTGCGGGATGTTTACCAGATAACGATTGAAGAAGGTATATTGAATTTAAAAATTGCATTGTCATTTTATTATACAAAAGATTAGATTACTCATCGATACACATAAGAGATATGCTGATTTATTTCCGACAGTTTCTTTTTGCTTTAACATTGCAACAAAATAAAAAAAATATGAGTATCTATAAGATAAAATACGAATAATATGTAATGAAATTTCAACCGTCAATACTTACTACTTACAATTATACCGAAGTATTATAACAGTAAAATCTGAACATTCAGATTTTGTATATAATAATTTATACAATTATTTTAATTTATATATCCATTCTTCAATTCTTATTCGAATACGATTAACAAGTTTACACTTCATAATACCATCATTTCAAACTTTGATCACTTGTAATTAATCGTTGCATTACGAATTGCATGTATTTATATCGTATTAAATTGACTAGAAGTCAGTATAGTAAAAAATTTCATAAAGTCGGATATTTCATTTCTGCTTTATTTAGATACTAGTGTTACGTGCGAGGCACGCGCGTGTACATGTGTTATGAATTAATGTGAATTTTTTTGGTAACGTGATGTGTCTGTTTAGTTACAGAGCGGAACACGCGTGCGACTCGCTAATGTAAATTTTGTTAGAATTTACCCGCAACAAGCAACAAATAAATATCCTTTTAATTGTGACCGATAAAATCTAGAACACAATCAATTAAAGTTTTTATTTTTGTTTTTGGGTTCGTCGATACTTTAGTCCCATACGGGCCCTTTCACCAGATCGCCTTGTTGGGAATTTAGGGAGGCTAAATACTAGGTAATATAAAAGAAAGTAAATGGTTTGAATTTAGAAACAGAGTATTATATATTGAATCATAATAGGAATTTACATATAATAACTTTAGTAAAATGATATAATGATGGTATAAATTTTAAAATGTATACAACTCAATAGCTCATGATATAAAACGATTGAATGAACATAAAAAGAAATATACGAATATAATGAGAAGAAAGAAATTTAACAGGGGTTATTGCCAGGAGAATACTAAGTTTCAATTTTAAATTTCAAAGACAAACAAATACGTGTATACAAATTATAAAATAAAAATAATTTACGATGAATTGATCTGAAAGAGTAAAGAAAACGACTCACCTAAATTTTAACGGTGCTGGACTATTGTCAAACAAAATGTCCTTTTCGTAATTCCTAGAATTTTCTCCCTTCTTAGAATATTGTATTTGCATGTTACCGAAAGTGAACCTGATGAGGAAGAACACACACACACACTGATTAATTGAATTTAAGTACGAAATTTATATCGAATTTAGTAGAGTCACGAAATAAAGAAGTTAGAACTGTTAAAACTAATAACTGTTAACACTATGTAATAAAACTAAAGAAAGGTGCATGTGACCTTAAACGCTCAATAAAAAAAACTAAAGAAAAGCAAAGAGAAAAATATTTAAACAATGAAATGTGTTGGCAGCAGTGATCTGCCTGGCACTAATTTCGTACTGGTTGGTAGTATTGTTAAAAAAAAAGGTTCGGGTTCTTGCATAGAATCAAGTAAGGATAAACGCAGTAATAGTAAAAGCTGAAAACTTAAGATATTAAACTTAGTTTGTAATTTAAGTGTATAAGTGTTTAAGACAGAATATACGTTTGTTGTTAAATATAGTTATACTAGAGCTATCGAGAGGAATCCAATGATGTGCAACATTCTTCAGTCTTTGAAGGTCAACGAAGGTCATTTAAGGCAAAAAAGTGAAATGAACTTACATTTACAGAAGGTGTTCAAAGTGATTACCATTGGTATTAATGCAATGCTGCAATCTCCTAATCACGGATTGAGTACTATTTCTTATCACTTCGGCACTTATCGAATCACATGCTCTAACAATTCTCTCTCGCATATCTTCAGGCGCAGTTGAAACTTCTTTATAAACAATGTTTTTCAAGAATCCCCACAAGAAAAAATCCAAAGGCGTCAAGTGTGGCGAACTACCCGGCCACTGTACAGCCCCTCCGCGCCTAATCCAATGATTCGGAAATCTTCTTTGCAACTCAATTCTAGCCACCAGCGAAGGCAAAGATATTTTCTTCATTTGATTTTCATTCAGGCCCAAATTAGTTCAAAGAATAGTATTGTAACACTTTGTTGACTAATGCATCAGGGTTAAACTATACAAGTCTTTATTTGTATAAACATCTGCAGTGTTATGTAGATGCAGATAAGTAAACCAATACCACTGTCCAACAAATTTAAACTGTTCTTTCTGATCTGCAATATCCATTGGGGGATTCTTATAGAGTGTCTCGCCCAGATCACGAATACAGAAGCAGAATTTCTCCATCTCTCTTAGTTTTTGAAAAACATGAGCTTCTGTAAAAACACCCGATTTTGTCAAAAAATTACGTATTACGTGAAAACTAAAAACGCTAGAAAGTTCAATTTACTCTTGGAAGTTAAATGAGAATTTCCTGAATATAGCAGTGTATATAGTTATAAAATTATGTAATTTGTAATGGTTGTAATTTGCCGTGAAAGTTGTAAAGACCTTCCCAGGACATTTAAAGATCTTAACGAAGACCTAACGGGGACATTCTTAATGTACCTTAATGAACCTTTTCGGGGCATTCTCCGAATGTACACAACGTCCAGAACGTACGTCCTCCGAACATAGAAGAAATCAAACATTTATACATACTGCTGCAAGGGTATGCCCATTGGATGGTCCTATCAGTGCCGATTACGCGTAGCTACGGCACTGAAGAATCGAGGTAAGCGGGCAATGACCGCGTGACGGTAAAAACACAGTGCAAACGTTGCCGACAGGTATTTTCCTGACCTGTTTGAATTGAAAACCAGTCTAACAATTTTTCTGCATGGTTTCTTCTTCAGAAATGTCCACAGAATCCGATACTGTGCAACAAATTCGTGCTAGATAAAGAATTTTTCGTAAAAATGCAAGAATAGAGCGTAGAAAGTAAGGTCATCGGCTCCTTTATAACTATTACGGCAATTTACAACCATTACATAATACACAATTTTATAACTATATACATTGTTATATTAAGGAAACGCTCATTTAACTTCCAAGAGTACGTTGAACTTTCTAGCATTTTTAGTTTTCACATAATATGTAATTTTTTGTCAAAACCGAGTGTTTTTACAAAAGCTTATGTTTTTCCAAAACTGAGGGAGATGGACAAGTTCTGCTTCCGGATTCGTGATCTGGACGAGAAACTCTATAAGGGTCGATCCACACTATCCATCTGCTCTCGCTTCGTTCACACTCCGCTCTCTGTTCAATCACATCCCTGAATATCCACACTATCGGTCGTTCACGATCACATCCCTCAGTTTATTATCCACCTTTCTACTATCCAGTTCATAATCATTTTATCCCAGTGTACCCACTTTGTACAGTGACAATATTTTCAGATGAAGAATTGGCTATAATTGCTGTCGCATTGGACAGAGAAGATAAAAAAAGTGAAAAGTGTCAATGAAAAGAAAACAATAGGTCAATGTGGATTCATACCAGTTGGATGATAAGAAAAACTGTAGGCGTATATTTCACATTATATTCCCATTTAGTGGCTGAGTTCGGTTACATCTGAAATGATATTATCCAAAATTAAAAAAAGAATTTCGAAAAGAAATACCAGATTTCGCGGAGCTATTTCTCCGAGAGAAAAATGAGTTGTATGCTTAGGGTAAATAATACATTTTTAAATATTACAATACTTAAATGAATGCCAAACTCATCACAGAATGCAAAATTAACATAGACATCCATAATTGGTATACATACAACATATCTGTGTACTAGGACAATCCATCGAGCGGTCAATCGTATTTTCCCGCGTTATAAAAATTGTTCACTGTAGTATTTGTTGTTGTAATATCGTTTTGTAGCATACCCCACTATATATAAAAGAAGTCCTGACTGACTCATCAACACACAGTCCAAAGTAACAATGGAATTATACAAAGAAAATATTTCGAAATTTCAACACTTTTCATTGGCCGTATTCACTTCACCGATACTTGGTCATTCGAAAAATCGTAGATCGACTGGTAGAATTGAGAAACGCGTTCACAATCGGTTCAGTTCCGGACAAGTTCGACCTTGTTCCAACAAAATATTGTTCACAAGGATCGTTGCTAGAATGCGATCGAAGCGAGATTGGAGCATTACCCATAATGTGAATACGCCCAATCTAAACCATGAAATAATATTTGATCGAACCGAGAGCGGAGTGTGAACGAAATGAGAGCGGATCGATAGTGTGGATCGATCTTAAGGGTCTCCTAATGGATATTGCAGATCAAAAATCGTGTTTAACAGTGTAATCTTTTATCTCTTTAGTCGTAGTATAGGTTCGTTGGCGTAATCTCTACATGAAATGAGAAATACCAAGAGATGACGATAATCTCGTAATAACGGTCGGACGTAGTTACCTTATTCGACGTGGGATCTCTACGTGCGGTTAGAACGCAATCCGAGTGCAGCAGAGCGCAGTGAAAGAACTGAAGCGTTGGAGTTCCCTGTTCCATTAGTGCAGACAGTAATATCAACGACATATAATATTTGTACGTACTATATAACATTTTTACTAGACTCTAAATATTTCCTTTGGTAATTATTGGGAACATGGTCCTCAGCATCGATTCCAATGACCATGACATACGTTGCTAAGGCCATCATTCTGAACTACCTTTCCCTATACATATAATAGACCGTCTCTCTTAGTCTCCGAGATATCCGCGAAAAAATACTTCTACGAGTGCATTGAATTTCGTCTATACGTGCACGTTCATGGCAATGTGTGCATCACATGGGGCACTTACCTACTGTTCCTATAAACACATCATAACAGCCGGCAAACAACGGGTGAACTTAAAAATCACACTTAACCGATTTCAATGATTTTGCATACTCAGATCAGTATAATGTTTTGAACAGTATATTTTTTTGTTTTTTAACTATCTCTAACCTACTTAAATCAGTTTAATGCTTTGGACAATATTTTTTGTCTGTTTAACTAGCTCTAACCTACTCAAATCAGTATAATGTTTTGAACAGTATTTCAGTTTTTCGCGAATATCTCGATAGACACAATGCAGTATTACTGATTTGAGTAGGTTACAGGTAGTTAAAATAAAAAAAGAACACCGTTCAAATCGGTGTAATGCTTTGAACAATATTTTTCTGCTTTTTAACTATCTCTAACCCACTCAAATCAACCATAAATCACTCTCCGGTTAATTAAAAAATCCGCTAATTTATCGTAGTTGCTAGAAATATTTAAAAATTTATACATCTTCATTTTAACTTAATTTAATAAATATACAAATATATATATTTAAAGCACTATGTAGTTAAATATATAGATTTACCAAGTAGTAGACAAGAATAAATCGACTTACCCGTTCTACAACTATCTGTTGTTTTCTCAGCCGCTGCGACGTAAATATTTATAAATAGAAATGATTAGCGGCAGTCGCATGCTGACTCACACGCTGTGATGAACGTGTATGAATAGACAAAATTTAATGTAGTGAAGCAGTAATTTTTTGCGAATTATCTCGGAAACTAAGGGAGACAAAAGTTGTTCAGAATGTTGGCCTGGAAAACATGTTTCAAGGTCTTTTAAATCGGTGCTGCGAACCACGTTCTCAATAATGACCTCTTCTTTAATTAAATCCAATATAATTTAAACGAATAATAAAGCATTATTCGTTTAAACTGTATTTTCAGTTTATTTTTGTATACATATTACTTTATTTTTTAACTTCATGATATTTAGTATTCCTCATTTGAATTTCAATATTAAAAAACAGCGAAATAGGCACAGTCGAAATATTTTTATGTATCTTTGTCAGTAGAAATTAATAATCCACAAATAAAAATTGGATACATAAGACTGTTCAAAATCATCTGAATACTGGTTTCGGTTTTAATATGACGTTTTTAAAAGAACATTACGGAAGTTGAAGTGTTACAATAACAGTTTATTAATTTGTTCAATGCAAGTGAGTTGTTAAAGCAACTCGTGCAGATTGTAGAGGCTAATGAGGTAGTAAAGTTGCTCGTTATCGTAATAGTTTCGTTATTCAAACAATTATTCCAGAAAGTTTTTTATCTTATTTGTTAAATGTATTGCTCTGTTATTTCAGTTAATCTTATTGTTAAAGCGCGTCCCGAGATTCCCGTTGGGTGAACTGTGTGGGTTATGCCTGTTTGAACTCTTGTACGATTAGTGCCAATTCTTGTTGATTATAGTTAAAAATAGTATGTATTTTACCCCTTAAAGGGGTATTCCAGTATGGACGCCCGTTTTCCATGTGACATTTGGAATTTTTTTACAGAGAAACTATAATACTCTTTGCAGTCAATCTTTCACTGTACATTTATACATATTTTCAGAAACAATGATGTCCGTGATTCCGGTCGTTCTGCCTATCTGAGATAAAAAAGCCGAGAAGTTCCTTAATTAGGATAACTTTGGTTACAGCACGTACGAGAATCAATTCAAAATCTTTCTTTGTTCTATTTTTTTCAAGCCCTCAAAGTTAAAGAAACATGAACAAATCAATAGTTAGATTACAAAGTGCTGCTATTTTTTTAATTATCGACTTTTTCCCTTCGTCTCGGTACCTGCTATAGTCAAACTGAACCTAATTAAGAATCTTCATGGTTTCATGCTTTCATGCTTTCCAATTTTTTTTTTCTAAAATTGTTTATGTTGAACATTTTAATCTTTATCAAGTGTCTTATAGTGGATGCTCAAAATAGTGTCTCTTGTTTCAAATTATTGTATTCGTTTTAAACAATGTTCAACGTAAACAATTTTAGCTCCTGTTGCTCTTATTACACCTTATACATATATCAGCAATTCTATCACGGAAGTCGTAGACGGACAGCATTGAAGTAAAACTACGTGACATGTTGATAATTATTATCAGATATACACCGTTGTCTTCGCGAATTACTCGGTAACATTATGATCTGTTCTTCGAAAGAAGATGTCTGGGAGGTAGGCCCGACTTTTCGCGGTGTTGGTGGGGGATCTTCCTACGGCTGTAGTGGACGCATTACATGCGTGCAGCATTCCTTCTCCTCATCGCTCACCAGTCGCTTTCTCCTCTTAGGTGCCTCGCCCTGTATATTAGTACCTGTACGTACATATATGTATATGTAGAAGTATTGATATAGGTACAACATATAGGTACATAGATACACAGTGATCCTGACAGACCGGTTGTTATCTTACATAAAGTAAATATCTTTCAGGTAACCGTGGGTCAATGTTGTCTACCATCAGTTAATTAATAACGAAAACAATGGCGAGTTACTTTGAAATCCTATGCGGCGTAGTGGTTCTACTCCTCGCCTTGTATTATTATTGCTACTCCAGTTATGATTTTTGGAAGAAGCGCGGCGTGCCTGGACCAAAACCACTACCGTTTTTTGGTAACACCAAGGACATAATGCTTATAAGGATGTCAATGGCACACTTCGTACAGGACATTTATGAGACATACAGGCATGAACCAATGGTTGGATTATTCATGAGTAGAAAGCCTGTTCTGTTTTTGAAAGACCTAGATCTTATAAAAGACATCCTTATCCGGGATTTCTCCAAATTTGCCGATCGAGGATTTAACGTTCACGAAAAGGTATTTATGCGAATAGACACATGAATATTAAATATTTTTATAGGATGTCGTGCTAAAATTTTATACTATAAATTTTTAGATTTGTCTCTTCTTTCTGTCTGTCATGTGAGATTTATATCAGTATATTTAAAACAGCGATTCACGAATTAGTTTGCGATAAACCGTTGCATTTATTTAACAATATTACTTGGACTGTGAAATGTATTGTAAAGTTAAGGAATATTTATCAGTGAGGTGTGACAGAAGTAAAGATAATGAGGATGTGTGAAGAGAAACTGCATAATATTTTCTATATTTAATTGTTGTTTAAAAAATATGTGACAAAACGTGTGAGTCACTGTCACTTATAATTACCAGCATTAAATATACAAAAATATGTAACTATTATAGTCGTATAAACCAGTTCAAAGTATTGTTCGTTAGTTTCGTTGAAAATAAGAAAGTTTAATCCGTCCAAGAATAAACATCATATGTACTATCATTTCTGCTTTTTAACAATATCACACAGTCAGATGCTTGATAACAGCATTTACTTAATGCTGATAACTAGCATTGTTCGAACCACACATGCAAAACCTTCTGTTAGGGAGGTAAACGCTCTAGCGAAGTTACAGGGTGCTTATGACTCAAACAAGGAAAACACCCCAGACATTTTAATGAGGTTAACCACAGTGATAGAGCTAGGAATTCTGAAGCCAATGATACTTGTTTCAGCTACAAATGGCCATTAATTTAGGAGATATTTAACGTTAAACTTGTAGCGTACATAGAGGACGTTTCCGAACTGGTAATACAACCCAAAAGGATGTGATTTCACACGAAAATAAACCGAAAATGTACAGAAGAATGTTTTCGTACAACCCTTCGTTTTTGAGGTAATCCAATTTGAAAATTTGCTGGATGCGGGGCGTTCCTACAGCTTTTTTTTTTAAACGAGGGGAAAACCTTGAAAAGGTGCACCGCCTCCGCTGGGGGCGGAGACGGCCAATGTGGGGTTTCACCCACTAAAAACCCCCCGGCAACGGGAACGCTCGACATGACCGCGGCCAGCCCCGCCCATTGCCCTCCCCTATAGGTGTTTAAGGGAAGGGCTCTTCTCTGGAAGGGGGTGATTGCCCCCCCCCCCGGGACGGCTGCGATGCCGTCCCACCAAATCCTACCAGAGCGCCGAGGGGTCACCTCTCGTCGCTGTCCTCTCGTGGGCCGACCGCGAAAGGAGGTGGTACCACCCCCTCCGCTTGGTTGCCCCACGGGCGACTCGAGGGTAATCGCGGCTGTGACCATATGAATCGCGCCACCTGCGGGGCAGCGTTCCTACAGCTACTTTAACGTGAGTCTACTGTAGATGGATTTAGAAAATTGATTTTCTTGAAAAGGAAGCATCATACGGGGAAATTTAGTTCTATATTTTTTTACCTATTCTTACATGTAAAGGTACATCCTTTCTGGACCGCCAATTCAAAAAAACCTTCTATATAGGCTACAATATTAACATTAAACATCTCAGAAACTACTGGCCATATGCAGTCGAAACAAATGCTATTGGCTTCAGAAATTCAAACTCTATCAATGTGCTAAGCATCATAAAGTATGTCACTGTTACACCTGGGGACCTCTCCTTATGAGTTTGCATCCATTTCTGGTCACTAATAACAAAAACGTAACGTTAATTTATAGTTTTCATGATCACACGTTGTTTTCAGTAACAATTTTTTCTACAATTTCCACAGACGGAACCGTTATCGCCAAATCTCTTCAATTTGGAGTCAGAACGATGGCGACCGCTACGACCAAAACTCTCGCCGATATTCACTTCAGGAAAACTGAAGGATATGTTCCCCCTTATGTTGGAATGTTCGGCCCACTTGGAGAATTATTTAGATAAAGTTGCAAAGGGAGTGCCAGTGGAAATTCGAGATCTAACCGCGAAATTCACGACCGACGTGATCGGTACCTGTGCATTCGGGATTGAGATGAACGCGATCGCGGAAGAGGATAGTGAATTTCGTCGAATGGGTAAAAAGATTTTTGCTGCCGACACAGAAAACGTTTTACGGTTAAAAGTTAAACAGTACAGTCCAAAATTTTACGATTTACTCGGATACATACTGCCTGACAGAAGAATAGCTCCCTTCTTCACAAAGGTCGTCACAGATACCATAAAATACAGGAAACAGCACGACCTCTCCAGGCCCGATTTTATCAACATGCTTATGGAGCTTCAAAAGCATCCAGAAAAGATAGACAACATTGGTAAGTAATTTTGGCAATGTTCGAATGTCGTTGATAAGGTACGGGTCATTCCAAGCCAAATCGATCACTTTTTGCACTGGCTATCAGGAATTTTGTTCAAAATGAAATATATTGCAATCCAAGTGAAATTAGGGGGGGTTTAAGTCATCATTTTTCTGTTCCCGAATTTCTTTAAAAAATACAGGCCACCAAACTTTACGATTTTTGTCTATTTTCGTGACACAAAGACAATATTAAAAATCAATTTTTCATATAACAAAATAATTATTATAGCAGCACAATCCTTTTAGATTAAAGTAATCGAAGAACGAACTCGATACGATAAATGGTTTCCCAGATATAAATTCTTCAGTACCTACTTCGCTGTTTCAGGAAAATAGGCAAATATCGTAAATTTCGGTGGCCTGTATATTTTAAACAAATTCGAGAACAGAAAAATGATGACTTAAACCCTCATCCCCCTAATTTCACGTGGACTACAATATATTTCATTTTGAACAAAATCCCTGATAGGGAATGCAAAAAGTAATCGATTTAGCGCGAAATGACCCATACATATGCTCACTCACCAGGGATAAATTTGAAATGACCCTTCCGACTGTGACCTACGTATAATGTACAACAACATAATTATTTTAGAATTATTCATCTCATCTTGATATTAAATGAAGTTAATTTTGCAACAAGTTATTCTTAAGTTAAGAATAATGAAAGAATTTAAATGATTCAGTATTTCATGTATTTATTCTACATTTAAAATAATTTCTACCTAAACCCGATTTTTAATAGCAGAACTAAAAATTGGGTAATTTTTTAACAGCAAAATAAGTAAAAGTGAAATTGGTAATTAATACATAATTATAATTTTCAGAGTTAACAAATTCTTTTTTAACCGCCCAAGCTTTCGTCTTTTTCGCGGCCGGCTTCGAAACATCTTCGTCGGCCATGAGCAATGCTCTTTATGAGTTAGCTCAAAATCACGAAATACAAAATAAGCTGCGTGCAGAAATTAAAGAATATTACGATAAATCCGACGGTGAATTGAAGTACGAAGACATAAAAGACATGGAATACTTGGATAAAGTATTCAAGGGTAAATATAATCGGATTTTCTGCAATTAAGTACATAACATACTACATAGCTGTTAAGTCCGGCGTTGCCCAGTCACGGTTCGTTTTTTTTTTATAATTTTGATTGCATAGATACCTAACAATATTTTGTATTAACTTTCTATATGTTAATACTTCTGGATACACTATATCTGATATGTCAAAGCTGTGATTTAGCGTTTGGATTTTGTGTATTAAGGGTACCCTCCGCTCGCAATTTGTGTAAAAATCGACTTTTTTTTATTGTGTTGTTATCTTACGTTGGACAAAGTTTAGTAACCTTGTTACATTAATGAAATTTTTCTTGCTTTTGTAGAGACATTAAGAAAATATCCAGCTGGACCGATCATAATGAGGAAAGCAACGTCCGATTACACTTTCGAGTCTGTGAAAGTTACGATACCAAAATTAATGGTTGTATGGATTCCGCTATTCGCGCTCCATTGGGACGCTAACATTTATCCAAACCCTGATAAATTCGATCCGGAAAGATTTAGCGAAGAGGCTGTAGCGGCTCGACACCCTATGGCTTACTTGCCTTTCGGTGATGGACCAAGGAATTGCATTGGTACGTTCGTGTAAATTATTTGATTCTACGTGACATTAGCCGATATTTGAAAAGTTATTGGTCAACTGCTATTAGTAAACTTAATATGACCAACAATGTGCGTTGTGCTAGTTAGATGCTATAAATAAGGATACTGTGGCCCTATCATTTCTTTGCATATTTAATTCTTTTTTCAACTGTATACTTATTGTAGTTTAGTAAATAGTACAGTATCGATGAAGAAACTGCAAATTCTGTTTCTGCTTAAATTAAAAATGAGCCATAGCAATGTTAACTGAATTGAATTTGTGTAATCTAGCCATATTTACTATACAGATTCATTTCCGCAAAGGATTAGCTCTTTCCTGTCTGATTTCTTTTTAAGAAATATAATATTCGTTAATCAAGAAGCAAGTAAAATGCACCATTTCAAAAACTGATATACTCTAAACATACAATTTATTATAAGAACAAAATGTGTCCGTTAACACTTTGTTACCAGCAAGCTATTGATTATAAGGGTGCAAATTTAGATGAAATCAGAATTATTATGTCAAAGGCACAGAATTTTGATATGTTAAATCATTCTATAAATGTTTGCCAGCAAGAATGGTTTTTTTACTTCTCTAATACTTGAAAATAACTTTAAATCAACCGATTTACGATTATTTTTTCGCAAAATTAGTAATTATTAATACCAATATGGTAATTATTTTTATTCTCAACTGTGATTTGTTTGTTCAATACTATTGCTTAATATGCCAATTTATTTTCAAATTTCTATTTTGAAAATATGGAATTTATATAATGTACCTATTAATAATATGGACATAAATTCAGGAGTAGGTAAAGCACAAAAAAAGTTTATGGAAACCTTTTTGCCAGATCACAAATATTCTTGTACTTCACTCTTCATCTTAAAACTGAGCTATAGCAATGACCAATGACTCCAATCATCAGTTAAACTTTTTCAGGCATGTTAGAAACATAATAAGAGACATCGAAATTTCTATTAAAATTAAGATTCCTATTTGTAACAATTCTTTTGCAACCATAATGAATAAAATTTGCTTTTAAAAATTCGTTATTAAATTGTAATGTATTTTTCAGGTGCCCGTTTCGCAGTTACACAAACAAAACTTGGCCTAATCAAAATACTCCGAAATCACAAAGTGGACGTATGCGAAAAGACAGAAATTCCATACGAATTTGATCCTGGTGCATTCCTCTTGGCACCAAAAAACGGAATATACTTGAAAATTTCGAAAATTTGAAATTAACACGGATACATTAATTTTATGAAAACAAGTGTTCAAATTAAATATTTGAAACGTAGCGCTCATAGATTTGACTCATTTCCATTTAGAAATTATGCAATGTATTATATAATATTGTAGATATTATCGCATGAATATCGTACTAAAATGGTAGAGTAAGCATTAAAAATTATAAATACAAATTTTAATTGTTAAGTGCAAGTGCAGTATTACAACGTAGGTTACATTGGAGAGATTAATGACTACATTTTTAAAGCAAGCTGCACATGTGTAATAATTCTCGTTACTAGGTATTTAAAAACAAATGGAAATATAATTAAATAATAAATTATTCGAAGTTGTTTTGTAACTCTTCAGTCATGTTCATTGTTGTTTATTTAAATGTCGTGGAGGACCAAATGTTACTCATTTATACATTTATTGATGTACACATTCAAAAATTTACTAATTTCATAATTTGATAGCTCAATGGTTTATTGGTTTGATGATTTGATAAATTTTCAGCAAATCTTCCACCATGGGTTATTCGAGGTTGAAACGTGTTTCCTCTCCCTGTTTAAAAATAGTGTTATTACTATTGTGTTATGCAGCAACATGTGAAACGAAGACGCCGCCTGTTTAACGCACCGGCGGACGTATTACAGTAAATTCTCGATAACTACTCAGACAGATCTCTACGTTAATTACTGCTACTTCATCCCATCGCCGGATTAGGGGGGCGGGTCACTATAACCCCGGGCTCCATTTCCAAGGGGGATCCCGATCTAAGCCTTCCATTTGTGTAAAAAAATAATTAAAAAAAATTTTGTTTACTGTTTCCCTTTTGATATTGTTACGAGCCAGGGCTAAGCGGCTGCGAAAGCCGAGGAAATGGCGAGTATGGTTTTTTTTAGAGTTTGTTATGTGGACGAACCTGTGCCTATTTTATCTCAGGGAGCCATTAGGACAGTTTAAACGTCGTGGACGAACCTATGCCTATTTCATCACAGGCAGCCACTAGGAGATTGGTAGTCGTGGAGGAACCTGTGCCTATTTCATCACAGGAAGCCACTAGGACTGTTAGTATGGGCCTCGTAACTTTTAAGAATTCGGTACACATCGAGCGGTAAAAGTGTGCCTTTGTGGGTTCGCTTCTAGCTGAGAACTTAGATGTTATTCTACAGTTGAAGTGAACAACACTGAATTATAAATATGCAGGGTGGTCCACATAACTCTTAACACCTCAATATCTCGAAAACCAAGACATCGATTTTAAATTTCTTGGTTTTAAATTGCATGAATCTGAAGGGCCTTTCTAACTACATAAATGTGAAGTGACCCCCCCTTCCCCTTTAAGGGGGGGCGGGGGTTCCTTTATAATTTTAAATGGAACTCCCTATAAAACGTTACATATTTAGATTCTACAGGAAAAAACAAGTAAATTTTGTCTGAAACATTTTTTTGTCAGATATTTCCATGATGAGATATAACAGTTTGAAGTTTCGACTTGTAAGTACTTACTTGAAGCGCTCGGAAATTGCGTCATTGAATTATACGCGCTCGAGTCCTTTGCTTACTCGTGAAGAAATAAAATGTTTTTTAAATTAAATGTTCAAAATGTCCACCACGGGCTTGTAAACATTTATTTAGTCGAAACTTCAAAGTTGTTCTAACATTTGTTAACATTTCGGGAATCACTGAAGCACAAGCGTCACGTATTCTTTGTTTCATATTCTTTTTTGTCGTCGGCGGTTCAATCATAACTTTGTCCTTTACATATCCCCATAAGAAAAAATCTAATGGTGTTAGATCGGACTTATTTTCACCAAGAGAATCTCCTACATTTATTCATAACATTTTGAAGAAAGTACACTGAAAGGAGTAAAAGTTTAAATTTTTATTCATGGGTGATTCCTTCCGTGTGTTACATTGTATCCCGAGGGCCCGAGGGTCTATTGCCGGCGGCCAGATAAAATCTCTACGCGCCGAGGCTACGAGTTTCGAGTTTCGAGTGCCAGAGCCTCGGGTCTCCCCTGAGAACATAAATCTGCTATCCGAGCTCTTTCGAGTAGCTCGAACAATGGCGGTCGGCGGAACTAATTCTAAAACTTTAAAAAAAAAAAATGTAGTCTGCATACATTCTTTGATAGCAAACTGATTTTAATCTAAAGTGTTATCAAAACATGTAAACCAGAAAAATCACAATCTTTAGTGATTTTTTAAAATCGCATTTTTTAAAGAACCCTAAAGAATAATGCATAACAAATCAAGGAAAACATTCAACCACACATTATAACGGAAAAACTGCATTTTTTTCAAATATATCAACTTTGATATAGATTTTCAAGTTAAAAACTTGTTTGTCATACTTTGTGTATATGTTCATTTTATTCTGCTTAGCTATAAATGTTAACTCTTAACTTATCTTAGCTTTAACCTCACATCAACATCAAAATTATTGAAATCAGTTAAGTTTGATCTTTAAGTGCACCCGTTATAGGTATAGAGTGATTACCGGTCCCCGTGCTTTTGTTTACGGAAACAGTAGATAAGCTGTCGCACCACGCTGATACATACGTTGCCATGGACATGCACGTATAGGCAAGACTCGATGTAGGTGTAGCACCACTTTTTTACAAAAGTCTCAGGAATTACATTACTTTTTCCACCTCCCTCGCCTAATTTTTCGCTTTAGTAACAAAATGATGTTATTTTAGAGAAAAGTCGCTAAATTCCACAATTACCTATGCATGTATTATTATGTATTTATAATTGCATATAACATTAAACACATCTAATAACATTCAAAACGTTTACGTCGCGTCTGTGTTTAAAAAAATGTCACGGCAGACAGATCTTCCATGAGCCGTAAACATCTATTTTCATTCATACGCCCACTAGTATGTTAGCTCAAAACAGTATTGTTATTTGCAAATAATTGGTTGTATATCTGGATCCCAGAGCCAGATTGAAGTAAGTTCACTTTTTTTGAAAAATAACATTTTCCATGGTTCCCGTATCAAATTATTCACTCTTTCATACTCTTTAATATAATAGTGTAAAAATGATATTAAGTCTATGTATTGTTCCGAGCCAAACAGTGTTTCTCGTTTAATTCTTACCGAATCGTTCCAAAGTTACATACAAGGTTTTTACACCTTTAATTTGCTCTCCTCTAAAGTTTGGTAATTGTGACTTATGTAATATACATACCCTGCCTCTGGGGTCCAAATATACTATCTATTCTAAACGTAAGTGATCAATGACTCCTCAAAACTACTACTAGGAGCGACACCTATAGATCAGCGGTGAAGCACTACATCGAAATCTCCAGCTAGCCGAGAACTCTGACGATAAACTATTTCTCATACGGTCTGCAGTGTTGGACCTCAATGGTGTAAATAAGTGAAAAAGTACCCAACTTAACCTTAAATCAATCATTCATTTAAGAAGATAACGTTCGTATTGCTTATTTCCCCTCATTTGCGTCGCTTTATAAATCCTTTGTTTCATATTAGTAAGTCTTTATGACTCAACAATTTGCTGCACTTTATCTGTGCTGATGAACGGATGAATACCGTGACTCCAGTATTGGAAACACCGTAAACAAGTGCGTTCATCCTTTCACGTCAGAGTACAAGGGTACGTAAAAATGTTTCGTTCAATTGTGTGTTCTGTATTAACAGTAGTGGAAATAAAAGATTCGTATTCTTTGTATTGGCTTACAGTAATTTAACGTAACACTATGTGTTTACTGTACTCTGTATCAACGTATACACTGCTCTAATGACTTTGTTCAGTGGAATCATAAATCAGTCCGACTAGTAGTAGCAAGAATACTTACAACACATGTTACGTCGGTATCGTATTGACCTTGTAATTTGCAGCAGACGGAATACATTATACAGGGTGTTAATAAACCTGTACGACACTTTCACAGGGTGGATTCTATACGCCAAACTAAGACGAAAATCAAGAATGACGAAATTGTGTTCGAAGTTTCGTTTCCGAGTTATTAATTAATGAAGGTACGGGCAAAATACGTGTGAAATACGTCTGGCAAAAATCAAATGAATGAAACCGACTCATGTAACAATTGGAAAGCGCGCCTCGCAAGTAGAATAACCCGCCAGGTCAGACGTATTTAACGCGTATATCGTCTGTATTTTCAACAATTAATATCTCGGAAACAAAACCTCGTACGAAATTTCGTCATTCTTGATTTTTGTCTTAGTTGTGCATTAGAATCCACCCTGTGGAAGTGTCCTTTACTTTTAATAACACCTTGTATATGTACATATGTAGATACACTTCTCATACGTTCCAAAATATTACAGATTGTCTTCACTATACTATGGTATAGTGTGCGGGAGTATTTTTTCTTATAAATTTCCTTGACTCAATGCAAAAGTTTGAATATTCAATATAAAACAGGGTTTAAGCATTATTGTGAGATCTCTATTACAAACAAACAGTGCGCACCTTTTGCGTCCGTGAAAATTTTCATTCGCCGTATGTACACTGTTTGTAAATAAATTTAAAAGTCGTAACTCAAAATAAGCATTATTATTAAGTACAGAGTTTTAGTTCTTTTCTTCCTTTCGTTTTGGTTTACATACGGTGTCTGCAGGAAGATTATCATTCAAATTTTTTGTGACACTTCATGGTATTACTTACTTTCATACATTAAGCGCCAAGAGAATTTATCAGAACGTATTATTGGTTTTCTAAAATTGCTTATTCTCAATTGTAAATAAGTAAATGTTGTGTAGAGCTGGGATAATGACATGCGGAAGGAACGCGAAAAGAATGCGGGTCTGATTGATTATAGCCTAATCTCTTTCTTATAGGCCGACCTTCTTCAAAGCAATTATAAAGATAGCGCACACATATGTATATTCATTACTGGCCGAGACGGTACACCCATAGTCTGATTGAGTGACTTAAGCAGGTATGATTTTGATACCGATATTACGCCATCAAAGCTATACCGAAACCGATATATTACCGAAAACCGAAATAAATACCGGTATTTTTTCGGTTTCTATAAGGGTAGAGCTTATACAGGGTTATATAGGGCGAAGGTTCAACCGAAAATACCGGTATAATACCGGTATTTACCAGTATTTACGTTTCGGTAGAAGTTCCTGTTCTGATCATGTGATCTGTATTTGCCAACGCGTGACGGAGAAAACGAACGTGACACTTCGAGACCGAGTGGGATAGAGCGATAATGTCAGCAATTTAACAAACTTCAAACTAATGCCGCAGCATCTCGGAATGTTAATCACCAGCCTGCGGAAGCGTGGCAGGCGGACTCTGTAGAGCGAGCCGAGTGCCCTTCTTGCCCCTGTGCCGTCCCGCAAGCCATCTTTCCAGCTCTGCACTATAGGTATTCTGAAGCTTACTGGAGCGTCACGTTATCGCTCTATTCTACTCCGTCCGAATGTGTCCCGTTCACTATCTTCGTCACGCGGTGCTATGTACATATTATATGATCCCGATTGTGTATATCACCGTTTCAGTCAATAATGAAAATACGCATGCCTTATCTCTGCAATTGTGTTAAAGCTCCCATACACGAAGAGACGGCCTCAGAGACCAGGGACTTCTACCGAAACATAACATACCAGATCTGTGAAGTTAGCACTCCTAACTGCAAAATCTTATGAAAAATCAACAGTATTGGTTTGTCCACGATTTGTCCACATTTGTCCAACGAAAATTTTCTTTCGTCCACCCTTCAAAAAAAAGTTATAAACAAATTAAAAATACGATATCAATACTCCCACGAACAGTGTTCCTTCATTTCTAACTGAGATATGATTGTCCACGATATGTCCACGTTTGTCCATCACATATTTTCGTTTGTCCACCCAGCAGACTCGAATTATTAACAAAAAAAAACATAAATAATGAGATATGATCGCTCTGAACATTTCTTATTGCATTTTCTCTAAACTAAGCACTGGAATCGTTTGTCCACGATATGTCTACGATTGTCCACCACAAATTTTCGTTTGTCCACCCAGCAGAATCGAATTATTAATAACAAACATAAACAATAAGATATGATCGCTCTGCACACTTTTTATTGCATTTTCTCTAAACTAAGCATTGGAATCGTTTGTCCACGATATGTCCACGTTTGTCCACCCAGCAGAATCGAATTATTAACAAAAAAAACAAAAATAATAAGATATGATCGCTCGGAACACTTCTTATTGCATTTTCTCTAAACTAAGCATTGGAATCGTTTGTCCCCGATATGTCTATAAAGTCGACAAACGTGTCCACCAAAAATTTTCGTTGTTCGTCGTCAATATTAAATCTTATTTTTTGTGTCTTTGTTTGTTAATAATAATTCGATTCTGCTGGGTGGACAAACGAAAACTTAGGGTGGACAAACGAGGACATGTCGTGGACAATCATATCTCAGTTAGAAATGAAGGAAAAATGTTCGTGGGAGTATTGATATCATATTCTTAATTTGTTTATAACTTTTTTTTAAGGGTGGACAAACGAAAATTTTGGTTGGACAAATGTGGACAAATCGTGGACAAACGAATACTGTTGGTTTTTCATAAAATTTTGCATTTTGAGGTGCTAACTTCACAGACCTTAAAATACCGGTATTTTCGGTTATACATTCACCCTTGTATAACCTTATATGTATAATAAGCCCTACCCTTATAGAGACCGAAAAAATACCGGTATTTATGTCGATGTTCGGTAATATATCGGTTTCGGTATAGCTTTGATGGCATAATATCGGCATCAAAATCATACTGGTTTAAGTCCCTGTCAGAAACGGTCTCATGAGACTTAATATTTTGAACAAGACATCCGATTTTCTTTCCTTTTTTGCCTACCAAGTCTCATCGTGTATGGGAGCCTTTAGAGAAGGTGAGCCTATGGGATATAACCAATCGGACCCGCATTCTTCATGCTTGCCAAATTCTCATCTCTGCATGGTGGGTATGTATAAGGGTGATTTATAAATGCATGTCAATATTTCAGAACGTCAATCTACATACTAATATAAGTTAAAAAACGTCATATGAATACACGTCCTGTATACCTTAGTTTTTGAGTTATGGTTGATTAAAGAAATTGTTTGACATTGCCTGAATCTCAACACATTAAACTTTTAATTTTGGGGTCATTTAAAAACTATTTCACGCAAGTGAATAATGTACACGATCTGCAAGAAAGGACATCAAATGGATTTGAGATTATTCGAAGAATACCTCGTATTTTCGACCGAACGCGAAACTCAATTAATCAATAACGCTTTAATCATCTATACCTCGAAAAGTAAGGTACAGTGGATTTAAAAAGTATTCGTACACCCTTTAAAACAGAACAACTCTTTCAAAATTGGACGTGACTTGTGTTTATTTTTGCGAAGTTAGAAGGATTAGTGTACTAAGGATGTGTAAACAAAATGTTGAAAAAGTTGCAATTGGTTGGAATCGCGAAGAAAATAGTAAAGGACGGTTTTTGCGACTTTTTGATCTGAGATTGTAATGAAAATTTAACGAACATATTGCTTAGACTTATGTTAGTTATATGCATGCTGAAAATTTAATCGAAATTGGTTAACATTGTTATAAGATACAAACGGTTAAATATAGTGAAAATCGCAGTTTTTCGCGACTTTTGACCTACAACTGCAGTATATCTAAAGATTCTTACATCTTTCGATGCCTGTTACTTGTTTTTGTATTAACCGATTTCAATAAAAGTCGCAGCATGTATATGTATAACTGACATAAATCTTCGAAATGTATTTATTAAATTTTCATTACAGGCTCAGACAAAAAAGTTGTAAAAAACGACATTTATTATTTTTTTACGACATTAACTTTTTTAACATTTTGTTAACGCATCATTTAGTACACTAATCCTTCTAACTTCACAAAAAAAACTCAAGTCACTTGGTTCAATTTTGAAAGAGTTGTTCTGTTTAAAAGGTGTACAAATACTTTTCGGACCCACTGTATATGGGACATAAGTTCATATGACATTTTTTACTTGTTTTGGAGTGTAGATTTACCCCCTGAAGGATTGACATGTATTTATGAATCACCCTGTCTACCGTTTATTTGTGATTTTTACGGACTGCCTCAGCAATAACGGTCATTTTGCTAGCGGACTCTAAGAACGTCAACGGCGTTTAACGAATTGATAATACAATAATGTTATTAAGTCGACTTCGTCTTATCCGGTTCCCTTTTGACTTTCCACATTTTCGTTGAGAAGCCCATGCGAGAAAACAATTGATACATTCTTCGGATCTAACTTTAAAATACATACAGTGGCGAACAAAAGTATTGGCACAGGAGATATTTCTATATATAATGTTAAATAAATATGAAAAGAACGCAGTTTCTTGTTTAATCCTTTTTTCAAATATAAGTCTGGAGTCCGAAGTTCAAATATATTACAAGTCATAAAAGTTAAATAGACCTGTAACAAAGAAAAAAAAATAAAAACCATATCGTGGCTCGTTTTCAGCGGAACAAAAGTATTGGCACACCTACGTTTTTTTAATATAATTTATTATATTGTAAGATCTAATATTTGGTATTTAAACCTTTTCTTCTAATAACTTCTTTTAATCGATTAGGCATTGAATT